CCTCACCACGATGGTGGAGAGCTGGATGAAGGCAAAGCCGCGGTTCAGTTGCGTCTGCTTGTCCTTGATGACTCGGACATTGGAGGAGGATAGCACTGCGTAGGGTGCCAGGGCCCCCAGGATGGAGTCCATGGTGCTGTGTGGGTTCAGGTTGCGCAAAATGATGGCTGCGGGAAGGGGCCCAGCATGAGGGGGCGCCCTTGATTCTCTGCTCCAGCCCTCCCCTGTGCAGGCTCCCACTGCACTCTCTCCTCTGGCCTCCACATTTTTGCACCTGCTGCTTCCTCTCACTTCTTCCTCCTGGACAAACTATGCCTGTCAGTTCCAAGTCCCAGCTCAGTCGCTCACCTGCCGAGAACTCCCCACACACCCCCAAAGTCGTCAGGTCATGCTCCTCCCCTGCTCTCCCCCCATCACCTGCCTATCTCCCCACTAGCTGGAGATCCCTGGAAGGACGACTAGTAAGTCCTGGTCAGCATCTCTCTGGCCTTGGACAGCGCAGCCCAGACACCCGAGGGCAGGGAGGAAGAAGGAACAAATAACTGACTCACTGTCATTGGCATTCTCGGAGCTTGGCTCTGAGCCCTGGGACAGGGACTGGGAGGCCAGCACTCCCTGGGCCTGGTAGGGCTGCGGCAAGGGGAGCAGGCCTTGGCTCAGCTCCCGTCCACCCAGCGGCAGCGTCTGCTGATCCAGCCTGGCACCCAGGGGCAGCTTCTGCTCTGCCTCTGTCAGGGGAGGCAGGAGATAGGGTAGTGACAAAGGCGAGGCTCCAAGGCCGGCCACCCTCTGCCCTCTCCCACCAGCGTCCTGGGAGCGGGGAGGTGTGAGGCCTCACCTGACTTGGGCACACCGCATTTGAAGCACTTCTCACGGCGTTTGAAGTTCTGGACTCCACACTGTGAGGCACAGGCCAGGCCGTCAGAGTTGGGGGGGAGGGGGCTTCCCGTTATGCCCTCCAAACCTGGATCCATAGGTCCCCCAGGGAACCCTGGCCCGCCCCGGGGAAGGGAGGCTCCAGAAGCAGGAGGCAGGGGGCTCTGGCTGTCATTCTTGGGCCTCTGAATTTCCCCTTTACACGGTCTCAAATCTGTCCCTAGTGCCAATCCAGCTCAGGAATCGACAACTTTACCACCCAGGAAACTGCTGCCTCCTCCGAGGTACCAACTCCCAGGACCTTTCCTTTAGTCCAGTGGTTCTCAACCTTGGCTGCACATTACAATCACCTGGGAATCTTTTTAAAATCCTGATTTCTGGGCCTCATCCTCCGGAAATTCTGTTTCTTTGTTATGGGGTGGGGCCACAACATTAGTAACAAAGAAACAGAATTTCCGGAGGATGAGGCCCAGAAATCAGGATTTTAAAAAGATTCCCAGGTGATTCTAATGTGCAGCCAAGGTTGAGAACCACTGCTTAAGTAGGTTCCTCTTCCCAAAACTTGCTTCCCTGTTCAGAAACCTCCGATGTTTCTCTCCCTAAAAGCCAGGAGTCCCTCTCTTGCCAGATTTCCATCCCTTCTTTATCTCAAGGACTAGGTTGGATCCTGCTGCTCTCAAGAAATCTGCCTCTGGAGACCCCTCCAGCTGCCACACTTCTCTGCTCCAAGGTCAGGTACTGAGCACCACTCTTGTGCCAGGCTCTGCCCTGCATGCCCAGGATGTGGCCTCTGCCCTCAGGGCCTACCAAGAGCACAGAGGGGCAGGTGAGTGTGTGGGTCCGGGCACCAGCGGGGCCCTGAGGGGCACCGCTCACTCGGCTTGGGCAGGTCAGCAGGGCTGTCTGATCTGAGGAGACCCGGACGTCTGGTTTGGTGTGGGTTTGCGGGGAAACCAGAGGTTTGCTGTAGCTGGTGAAGGAGGGTGAGGAGACAGGCCAAAGCCGAGGCTGGGGAGGAAAGGTGATGCTAGGTTATGGAGGATGGTGCCACTGAAGCTCAGAGTTATGGGGGTTTTAAGCAGAGAAGGTCAGGGGCAGGTGGTTCTGAGGAATGTTACAGGTGAGAAGGTAGGAAAGATGCCAGCATACCAGAGAGGGGCCATGGTGACTGTCTGGGGGAGGGGAGGACTGGCCTGTGCTGTGGGAATGGCAGGGAGGACATCTCTTTTTCTTTCTTTTTTTTTTTTTAATCCTCACCCGAGGATATTTTTCCATTGATTTTTAGGGAGAGTGGAAGAGAGAGGGAGAGACAGACAGAAACATCAATGTGAGAGGCACACTTTGATTGGTTTCCTCCTGCATGCGCCCTGACCAGGGCCCAGGTCAGGGAGGAACCTGCAGCGTGCCCTTGACCAGAATCAAACCCGGGACCCTTCAGTCTGCAGGCCGATGCTCTAGCCACTGAGCCAAACCAGCCAGGGTGGGAGTGTATTTCTATAATGGCAGTGACAGGACCCGATGACCAACAAGATGTGGGGGGTGAAAAAGGGAAAGGAGAGAATTCCCTGGTCTCGAGGAGTGTCTGAAAATATAGGGGGAGATGGAGTTCCACTGTCGCTTTGTCCCTACCACTCTGACAGTAGACACCTGCCTTCTGGCATTATTATTATTTTTTTTAACACAAAAGCCTAACCCCATTCCTAGGCAGAATTCATCTTGAGGAGAGGGCCGGGGACTCCCCAAGCCTTCGGCCCTCCCCTTTGGTCTCAGGACTGCCACCCAGCTGCAGGGGGTGGGACTACAGCTTAGGGCTGCTTGTGAGGCTGGCCCTGGGAGAGACCTGCACGCATGGCCCCTGTAATCGGGAGCAAGTCATGGCTCAGGGATCACCCACAGTGCCACCTCTCTGGAACCTCAGCTTTCTCTCCGGGACTAGAACTACAAAAGCCTACAGCCTGAGCCCCCAGTCTCTGTCACAGTGGCCTTTAAGGTCAGGTCACCTGACGCGGACTCTCAAACATCCTGTGCCTTCCTTCAGAATAACGGCTGACGTCAAACGGTGCTACCAGTGGGCCAGCTGCTGTTCCAAGCGTGACCTTCTCATCACCATATTTTAATCCGCCCAAGCACCTTTGGGGACATGTCTCATTACTATTCGCATGCTAGAGATGGGAAAGCGAGGTAGAGAGAGGGAAAGGGCCGTGATCAGAATCCAGGTGGAGCTGGGAGAGTCTCATTCCAGCCAGTCTGGTCTGAGGTCCGCATCTTACACACCGTGTCATGCCTCCACTATCACTAGTTCATCGTTTACGTAAGTATTTGTTGACCATCTACTGGGACTTCAGGCAAGATCACGCTTCATGAGGGCAGAGCCTGGCACCAGTGAAAGCTTCTGTGCACACGGGTGGGTGGGTGGGTGGGT